TCTTGAAAGTTCACATCAGAAACTGGCCAGTGCTGTCCATCATTTAGGAATAACTGTGAACTTCTTGGGGGTGCTAATTAAGATCTCCTATACAGCATCCAGGAGAAATGCTGCATATCTCCAGTAGCCAAGGAATGAGTGTTTCTTGGCTCATCACCACTCAGCCTGGCTGCAATGCTGAGGACAAAGCTTTCAGCACAGAGGATCCTCAGCTGGTACAGAACACTGTAACCCTTCTCTTAGCCTGTGTCACAGCACAGACATACCCTGACTGCTCTCCATGCCTTCTGCTGCCTCCTCAGGCAGTGTCGTGTCCACTTTGCAGTCACAGTGCTTGGTTTTACATTTATGTTCAAATAAGCCTTGACACAAGAAACCTAAAAGGCTGCTCAGAACCTTCAAGATTGCAATGCAATGACATAAGGGCAAAGGCATCTGGGAGAAAACCACGTTCTCAGAGAGCAGGCCAGAACTGTGGATCTTCCCTGAGTAGGAAGATCTGCATAAATGCACACATAGAGGTAAAATATTAATGCCCTGAAATGGCAAAGCAAGAGAATTGCATTCAGTGCATATATCAGATTTCTTCATCCTTGCCTTTTTATATCACAACGTAATGCCCTGTTTTCTGTATTCCAAAACAAAAAAATACCCACAGCAAACATTTGTCTCCAAAGGAGGAGCACAGAGTAACACAAACCAGAGTTACTCCCCACACCGCTGCACACCCAGGGTGGAGGTGGTGCAGTTTCTCCCCGACACATTCACAAGTTGCCCCTGGACTGCTCTCAGCAGGCCATGAGGACAGGACAGTGTCACTCTAGAGGTGAATTAGGAGGGGCCTTCTCACAGCCATCCACTGTGAGAAGTTAATTTTATTTTCATTTGGCCCACAAGTATTTAATTAAGATGCCTCCTCATAGTTGCAAAGACTGTAGATAAAATTCTGCCTGTGGTCTATTGCTGTGGAGGCAACATAAACCATTCAACACCTCCTGTCTCACCCTTTCCTGTCCTTTTGTCAAGTTTTGGAGCTGAAGCAGTGAATTTACTCCACCAACAAAGCTTACCTGCAGTAACTCAGGCTGTTGGAAGGAATTTGGCTCCATTCCCTCCCCACTTCTACTACTCCATCAGGCTGAGCACACTTCTGGGCAGCTACCACTGAAGTTTCTTCCAAACATGAGTTTAATTTGTGTTGTACATGACAGAAGTCCCAAACTGGAGCTGACCTGCTAGCATCCAGCTTATTTGTAGCTGAATAAGCAAAACAACCTTTTGCTTTCTACCTATTAGGTCAGTGACATTGATTTCCCCTGGCTGCAATGGCTGCAATCTTGATGCAGAGAAAAGAGAGAATTGAAAATATACAGGTAGCTCTGGGAGCTGCTGCCTGCTGTGGAAAGTGAGAATTCATGGTTACTTTCCTTCTCCAGGCTGTGCTGAGACCCTGGTCCCCAGCTGTCCCCAGCTATTCACATTTCCTCCAGACACATTATCCAGGGTCGACAGAGATGAATAATTAAGTGAGAGGGATGCACTAGGACTTGTGAAGGTGACACTTGGAATATCAGCAGAAGGAAAGAGTGTTGCAAGTCTTTTTTGTGTTCAGAGGTCTGCTCCTTTTAGCGTCAAGTCTGTGGTTCATTTGCTGTTGTCACAATCATTAATGTCATTAGCAGCTTCTGCGCTCTGAGGGTGCAGATGGCACCAAGTGGCCTGAAACAGACTCTAGATTATGTGCTTGGCTAAGAAGTGCCTCATCCAAAACACAGAGCACCCAACACAATCCTCTTATGAGAATAAATCACACGGGACTCCATTTTCTTCATGGTGGAAAAAGCCCATTCTTTATTCACATAACTCCTTTTTATACATTTTACAGACCTTATGTGGGACTCCAATTGGTCAGTAGTTTTCTTGCCAACAACTTTTATTGGTTAGTAACAGGTTGTTATCCTGTATTGATTGGTCACTCAGACTCAGTGTCTACTGCAGGGAAAGCTGTTTGTGAAGATAATTTCATTTTTCTGTCTAATGGTGTAAAAACAGCTTATACAGGTGCAAGGTGTTTTTACCAGGAATAGATTGTTATGTTAATGGACTGCTCACACCAGGACTGGTTTCATATCAGAACTTGCAAAAAGCTGGCTTTGACAAGGCCAGCCACTGATTCCAGGAGAGCAGGCTTGATTTTATGAAGCCTTTCTTTATGATTTTTCTACCTTACTGCAACATCCTCTCCCAACCCTCCAGTGCCACTGGACACCACGAGAGCCTCCTGGACAAGAGGCTGTATGTTCAAAGTCAAGTGAGCTCTTGAGGCAGCAGCCTCAGAGAAGGCACCCTTCAACTCCAGAACTTTGTGTTCTCCAGAGGGAAAGAACAGACCTGGTGGCAGAGTGAGGGGGAGCCTCTCACCGAGTGCCTGCAGCAGGTATCAGACACCAGCAGCACATCAGACACCCTCCATTAACCGTGTCCTAATAAAAGCCTTCAAAGTACATTTATATTAGAAAGGCAGCAAAGAAACCCTTAATCATGAGAAGGACTATTCATTTGGGCCTGGGCAGTGGAATTGGTTTATTATATGCTGCTCTTTAGATGCAGTCTGCCTCTATACTTAGAAAATGTCAATTAATTTATGGTTGTGGAGCTTTCATGCCTCTCCTGATAGCTGGCACATCCTCTTCCCATTTCAATTTGTTGTCTCACTTTCTCATGTGAAAGTCAGAAGAAAAGAAGCATACAGATCACCCTGGGAAGCTGTCAGTCAGACAGGGAGAGGAGAAACTGCCCCTGATTGTCCAGTAGTGTCTAAACTCAGCCTCAGCAGCCAGCCTTGACCTGGGAACTGAGGGGAACTGTAAGACTTGTGGTTATGAAGCAAAGATAATTATGCATAGTGCCGAGGGACTACCTTCAGTTAAGTAATATGGTCATCCTATAAAATCTGTTGCCTTTATGGCAATTTGACATTAGAGAGGGGAACCCAGAATGCTCAGGATTAGGAGAGCAGATTTCATAAATATCCCACTCCTGCTCACAAACTAACCAAGGGCAGCTGCTGCCATTGGCTCATCTGAGTTATCTTTGTATTAGCAGACACACAGGGAATTTATCTTTCATGGACAATCTTTCTCACTGTGCCTTTTCTTTTCCCAGTGCTGGGTGAACTACAGATAGTCACAATACGGGACAGCTCAGCACTGAAAGGAAGTTGGTTTCAGTTTCTTTCCCCACTTACTCCTCTGGAACATCCTCCTGCTGACAGCGGCCGTTCTGCCCTCCACAACTGCTCATACTCTCTGCAGCCCCAGGGTCCAGACAGAGAGGTCCTGGCCCTTCCCACACAGCTGACAATTGCTGTAAGAGAGGGATGCAGGACAGGCAGCAGCTCATGCTATGCCATAGCTGAAAGCTACAAAGCTAAAAATTAATAACAGTTCCTTGAGGAATAATACCAAAAACACTTGGCATAGCTTGGGAACTGCAGGCCTGGACATGGTCTGGCTCATTTTAGTTTGGTTTTAGTGTGTGTTGCCCAGCTGCCAGCACCTTGAGGCTGCTCTGAGCTCTGCTGTGTGTCTGTGTGCAGGATTACAGGGTGAACATCTTCCTGCGGCAGCAGTGGAACGACCCCCGGCTGGCCTACAACGAGTACCCCGACGACTCCCTGGACCTGGACCCCTCCATGCTGGACTCCATCTGGAAGCCTGACTTGTTCTTTGCTAACGAGAAGGGGGCCCATTTCCATGAGATTACCACGGACAACAAGCTGCTGAGGATCTCCCGGAACGGCAACGTCCTCTACAGCATCAGGTAAGGTGACTCCACCAAGGTCATCCCAGCCTAGACTTTGGGCATGTTGCTGGAAAAGAGAAATGTAGGGGGCTTTAAGGTGGGAGATTATTCAATTAGCAGTGATGAAGCATATTGAGACAGAGGCTTGGTCTGGGAAGGAATTTAACTCAACTTTACTTCTTTCAGTTCAAGGACTTCTGCTTGTAGTAGATTCCTTAACATCCCTAATGTAAAATTACTTCAGGTATCTTATGTTGGTACAAGCCTAAAACCAGCTGTGCTGTGTGAAAACCAATAGAAGCTCATGAACACTCTGTTTTCAAAGCTGCAGCTTTTCCTGTTAAAAAAAAAAAAAAAAAAAAAAAAAAAGAAATCAACCTTAGCCCCCACCTTCACTTCCAACCCCATTCACACTGTATTTTAAAAGAACAAAATTAAGATCAAACTTCACAGGCCTAGACTGGGAAAGTTTAACTCTATACTGAAGACCTTTTCACCTCATGTATAATGTAAATTTGCCTCTGGAACACATACCCCATCTCACACTGCAGCTCCCAGGGGCAGCAATAGGAAGGGAAAGCAGTGTTGAGCTGTAAAATGGAAGATAAATGGCTTAATGCTGCAAAGTAGATGGCCTCCATCAAACACCAAGGAGGTTCCAGCCCAAAGACCTGATGGCCAAAACAATAAGAGAATTACCATGTGTGTTGGCTGAATGGGGGAACTTCACAGTTCTTAATTTTAAAAACCAGACAGGAGAAATAGTCTTTCCCTTTAAAAAGAAAAATCTCTGCCATTTCCTAACTGGTTCTTTGCTACTACTATTTGTAATAATCAAACTCTAGGCAAGACATTTACAAGAAGGTGGATTTTGTCACATCTTCTGTCCCAACATGCCTCTAAACTCAAGCTGAGAATTTCTAACAACGTAAGATTTTAATTTGAAGTATCTTTCCCTCCTGATAAGTTTCTTGTAGGTCTGAAAGTAGAAAAATTCAATTTCTGTCCCCTGGGTAATTCTGCTATTTCTACATCAAGGCCAAAAGTTGAAAATCCAGAGAGCACAGGCAGGAAGAGATGGATGATCTGCCATTCCCCCAGCAGTGCCCACTGTTTGGCATTCCCTGTGCTCTCCTCTCTCCTCAGGATCACGCTGACTCTGGCCTGCCCCATGGACCTGAAGAACTTCCCCATGGACGTACAGACGTGCATCATGCAGTTGGAAAGCTGTGAGTCCTGTGCACATTTTGGAGAGGAGACAATCTCTTTTCTATCACACTGTGACACGAAATAACTCACAGAAGCAGGCTAGATGTAAAAGGAAAGAAAAAGAGCCCAAAAAAGCAAACTTTTATTTTCTGACTCCACTATATATACAATAGCAAATATGACAGTGGATTGGAGGGTGAAACTGCCACCTCTCCAACCACACTGTTTAAACCAACAGTTCATCAATTCTCTCCACACACAAAGAACACAAAATAATCATTATTTACATAAATATGCATGAGAAAACTCAGTAGAAATATGTAAATATCAGAAGGCATAGGAACTTTTAAAATAACTTTAAAACTCTCAAAAGAACAGGGCGACACTTTTCCATGCTGCTCTCCCCTGCCATCTCCTTTCCCATCTGCAGCCCATCCCCAGCCCAGCCTTCACTGGAGGCTTGCTCGAGAACCTCTTGCTTAGGATTTTCCATTTATTCAGCCATGTGACATTTGCTAGGAAAGCCAAACCTCAAAAACCCCATGTGGGGAACCCTGGCTTGCCCGTGTTTGCATTGGCCTTTCACTTTGCAGGAGAGAGGTGAGAGTGCTTTCAGCTGCAAGAGGGATTTTTTTCTCTCTGGATAAACATCTGCCACTTGTACATTCTGCTTATCCCAGAGGAGGGAAAGATGATGAGCTCCTTCCAGAGAAAGCAGTCGAGAACAGTAGAAAACAGTTCAGCAAGCCAAATTCAAGAAAAAAATGTTATTTATTGCAGAAAATCCATTGCAGCTCCAGTGGAGGTCATTGCCCTGGCTCTTACCACATGAACAAGCAGTTTTGCCTCAACCCAAATCCCATTCATGACAGCACTGTCAAGGAAGGCCAGGATGCTCCCCTGCCTCCAAGCTCTCCTCTGCTACACTGTCCCTTTCCAGATCAGTATTTAACGTGATTCACATGACATTTGTCCCTTCCTCTCAACAGTTGGCTACACAATGAATGATCTCATATTTGAGTGGCAAGAAAAAGGAGCAGTGCAAGTTGCTGATGGGCTGACATTGCCTCAGTTTATCCTCAAAGAAGAAAAAGACTTGAGATACTGCACAAGCACTACAACACAGGTCAGTGCTGTTAACCCTTAACTGAGGGGTTCAGTAGAGAGGAATTCAGGACTGTGCATTGCCAGAGTCTGTTGCTCTGTCTGATGTCACTCTGGCCTTGTCCTACACTTCCAGAGATAACAGACATGTGGAAACATATAGCTAATTAGAAGCTAATGGGCATAAATGTGCAAAACCCCAGTAACATCTGCATCAATTCAAGGGTGTTTGGTTGGGATCTTCTCTCCTAGAACCTTGTTTTGTCTTTGTAATTTAAGTGACAAAGGACATACTGCCAAAGAGCTTTCTTGCTATGTTAATGTTCATAGAATCTTAGAATGGTTTGGGTTAGAAGGGACCTTAAAGACCATATTGCTCCAACCCCTGCCATGGGTAGGGACACTTTTCACTATCCCAGGTCACTCCAAACCCTGTCGAACCTGGCCTTGGACACTTCCAGGGATCCAGGGACAGCACAGCTTCTCTGGGCAACCTGTGCCAGGGCTCCCCACCCTCACAAGGAAGAATTTCTTCCTAATATCTAAACTAAACCTTCTCTCTTTTAATTTGAAGCCATTCCCTTTGTCCTATCACTGGGCATGCCCTGGGCAATAGCTGTTCATTTCCTCCCCTGACAAGACTCTGGTTTAGGCAACTCAAAGAAAAGGAAAATCCCCAGACACTGGCTGAAAACAGGAGGCTCACTGTGCTTACCAAAACCTTCCATGTATCTCCCATCCTCCTCAGGCAAGTTCACCTGTATAGAAGCTCGTTTCCACCTGGAGAGGCAGATGGGCTATTACTTGATCCAGATGTACATCCCCAGCCTTCTCATTGTCATTCTGTCCTGGATCTCCTTCTGGATCAACATGGATGCTGCACCTGCTCGTGTGGGCCTGGGCATCACCACCGTGCTCACCATGACCACCAGAGCTCTGGCTCCCGAGCATCACTGCCCAAGGTAGGGAACACCCTTGGAACACCAGGGAAATCCTGCCCCCTTTGGGGACAGCATCTAAGGAAATCCCTACACAGATCCTCTTGCTGCCTTTGCACAATTCCTGTGTAAGGACAAACAGAGCAAATTCCAGCCCCATCCTGACAAATTTTTATATTCCAAATGGCTAGCAGCAAAACTTCCCCTAAATTCAGCACCCACCACAACTCTCAGTTACCAGGAGCTCTGTACTTTATAAACCCCTGCAACAACCACACATGGATGTGCATTCTAATTTTAGCTTTTTAGTCACTTGACCATCCTACTCTTATAATAGTACTGAATTTCCCTTTATGAAAGGCTTCTGGTATGGGGATTACTGTTTTCCTTGCATATAAACAACACAATCAAGGCCTGAATAAATTAAAAGCTGTGGAATTATTACTACTTAAGAGCCCATGAGGAGTTTCAGTGACCTGATAACACATTCACGTTAAATGAGTGTGATTCTGCTATCCAAGTACAGATGTCAGCCATGTAAAACACCAAGTAAAATGCATGTGGGTAAGGAAGCCACCCCATTTCTGTCTCTTTCTCTGACTCCTAGGTGTCCTATGTGAAGGCCATAGACATCTGGATGGCTGTGTGCTTGCTGTTTGTGTTCTCTGCTCTTCTGGAATACGCCGCCGTCAACTTCGTGTCTCGGCAGCACAAAGAGCTGCTCAGGTTCAGAAGGAAGAGGAGGCATCATAAGGTAATACATAAAGCATGAAGGACACAGTGAAGTCTGTCCAGCAGAGCACCATGGCCAACTGAACCAAGCCACTAGCCCCCAGGGAAGTGCCCAGTATCTGGTCAGATGTTAAGGAGGCTCACACACCAAAAAGCAGAGCTGCCCCAAAGAATTGTGCCTGTTCTAAGCCTGCTGACCCCAGGAGTCCAGCAAGCTGGGTTTTGCTAGCTCAGCCAGAAGGGTTCTTCTCAACAGGACAATTGTCACACAGCAATGTCCTGGTGTGAGTTCTCCTCCCCAGAACTGCAGCCAGGGCTGGGGGGAGGCAGGCAGGGAGGTGTGAGGGATGTCTGTCAGAGAGCAGCACCCCCAACACGACAGCCTGCAGCAGCCCAGAGGTAAGTGACACCTCTTTTGTCTCTGCCATCTCCATCTTCAAAAGCATCTGCTTCTCAGATGGACTGCAAATTCCTCCTGGAAGGAAAGAGCTTTATTCTGAGCCTTAGCCTGCTCCATGCTTACCTGCCGTGGCTGATCCCAATGCCAATCTGAGCATGCACGCAGCTCCGACAGCTCCCCAGCCTGGGCTCCAACAGCAAAGATTTCACCTCACAGAGCACATTAGAAAGAAACATAAAGGTGGCTGCGATCACATGGCCAAAGGCTCTTAGGAATTGTCCCTGGTAGAATCAGGAAAGGGGTTAGCAAAATTTCAGCACCAGGCCTGAGAGACTGCCCTTGGGAGAGCGTTAAAACCAAGTACATTTTCTAGGAGAGAAAATCAAAGACAATTTTGCTGATGAAAATCTCAAGCAAACCCGTAAGTGACCACCACTTAAATATTCCTCATAGGTATTTGTCTACTTTCTATGATGCATTCCAGAAACCTTCTCCCATTCCATTATTTCACTGTCCCCAGCCATTAAATCTTTCCCAGGGTCTAACCTGTCCTGCAGCAGATCAGTGTATGCTTGCAGAACTGCTACCATTCCAGGAGGAAGTGGGGCTGAGGAGAAGGAATCCCTGTATTTTTTCCAGATTTGTCTCTTTCTGCTTCAGTCGTCCTATCTGCAAAACAGGAGATAATTGTTCATTTGTGCTCAACACAGTCAGGACCAGGGATGAAAAGTGTTGGACAAAGGCAAGGGAAAAGAAGTAACAGATGAGACCCTCAGCACCCACTGAATTTGTTTGACCAGAACAGGGCTCTGCCATCCCAAAATCAACAAAGCTTTGGTTCAGAAGATGCAGCTGAACAGAGGCAGAGCTAAACCCACACACGTGCATGCCTCCATAGTGCATTTATCTCTTCATCTGGATTCAGGCATCCCATCTCTGGATCTGTGCTGTTGTATGCAGATCAGTCTGTTGATAAAACAGTAAGAAGGAAAAGAAAGCCACTAATACACAGACAAGTTTAAGAGATATTTGCCAGAGCTGCTCCACTGAATGCAAGGCTGTTAGCACAGTCCCTGCTCAATCTCACAGCTATTTAATTGGAGCAAAGCATAAACAAAAACACTTGTAAAAGCTAAATGAACAAGGTTTACAGGCTCATCAGAAAACTAAGCTGACTGCTGATATGTAAATGGACTAACAAGCTGCCAAAGGCACTAATTCTCTGTCCTGACGTCCTGACTTGTCTGGGTAGCTCTGACTGGTTTAGGCATGACACACCAGGCTAAAAAAAAGTGAGATGTTGCAGTGGTATGGACCAGTCTGGTTAACATGACACCATCATCAGACCCACATGGAATGTATTTGGAAACACTTCCTGGTGTGGCTGGTGATCTTTGCCTTTCTCCTTTGACATAGCACCTTGAAAAAGACACTATTGTCTTCTCTAACCCTGGTACACCACTCACCAAAACAAAGCCACAGTGGCCAAAACAAAGTCACAGCCAGTGGCTCCTCAGCAATGAAGATAAAAAAATTCAGTAAATTAAGGATCGAGTGGTTTAGGTTAAGCCAGACATGGGCCAGGGTTTGTTTGTGCAATGAGAAAAGAGCAGAGGCCCTAATTACAGACATGACGAGGAGGTCCATATGCTCTGAGTATTGCAGAAAGCCAGATCTTGATTTTATCCGGGTAGTTTTGTTTTGCTCTGTGTCCTCCTCCTCATCCCATGCAGCTGCCCATGGGATGCAGAGGCCATCCAGAAAAGACACTCCTCAAAGGACAGGGGAGGGGGCAGCAGGGCACAGTGGACAGGCAGCTACAAGGGAGGGGGCTGCTAGGTCAGTGGTGGGGGACACAGCATGGATCAGCTTCTGTTAATGATTAATTAGTGCCACTGCTCTACAATTAGCCCTGGACCTGAAGTCAAGAGACTTTGGATTCTGACTCTGCCTCTGTAAATCACTGCTTGAATTACTCGGGCCAAACTTAGTTTTCCCTGTCATTACATCCCTGTGTTCAATAAAATAGGGCTAAATCATTCTGGGATTCCAGCAAAGCTTTCAACAAAAAAAAACTAAACAGCAACACCTTGGCTTTAGAACACAAATTGTATTTTTTTCTCAATAATTGGCATTACCACAAGCATCCATGTCTTACCATTGACCCACAGAAGGACACTTCAGTTCCTCACCTAAAAGTTGGCTCCTGGGGATGGCTGTGGGGTGCCGTGGGCAGGGAGTGAGGGCTGGTTGCACGCTGCCTGCAGAGCTCTTGTCCTGGACAGCTCCTGGCTCCTGCACATCCATGTAACTCTGTAGGAAGCAGCTGCAGCTCTGGCTACGTGAGTTACATGGAGCCCACTCCTTCTGGGCAAGCTGAAACTGCACAGGCAAAGCAAAGAAGGTGCTGATGGAGGTGGGGGGGGGGGGAATAGGGAGAGGCAGAAGCAAAACAGGGGATGCAATTGGAAAAATGAAAGCAGTGCCACAAACCCTTCAATATGTCAAAGACCTCAGCGGGGTGGAAGTCAGTCCTGTTGTCCACGGGGTGCCTGGATCCCCTGATTTGCATCTGTGCATCACACAGCTGGCACCCCTCTATAAGGCTGGTCTCCCAAGAGCAGGGTTTGCCCAGGGGTGCCGGGGCACGGCGGGAGCATCTCCCCCGTGCAGAGCAGGATGCTGTCAGCGGAGAGCCTTATAGCGAGGGTGCACTGGCTATATCTCATTTTAAGTAGAGTCCCATGCTCAATCTGTTCCAGGAGGACGAAGCTGGTGAAGGCAGGTTCAACTTCACTGCCTACGGGATGGGGCCAGCGTGCCTACAGGCCAAGGACGGCATCTCTGTCAAGGGAGCCAACAACAACAACACGGCCAACCCGTGCCGCCGCCGTCGCGCTCCCCCGAGGAGATGAGGAAGCTCTTCATCCAGAGAGCCAAAAGATCGACAAGATCTCCCGCATTGGCTTCCCCATGGCCTTCCTCATCTTCAACATTTTCTACTGGATCATCTACAAGATAGTCCGCAGAGAGGACGTGCACAACCAGTGAGGGGAGGGGAGCAGCGGGAGGGAGCGAGCAATCCTTTATATATGTGCAATAGCAATGCAGCAATGCATGAATTTAAGAATGCGGCAATATCTACTAAAAAAAAAAAAAAAAAACGAAAAAAATGGGGAAGGGGCTGGGAGGGACTTTTAATCATGTGGACTGAGGGTGTCTGGCACAGGGAGGAGAAAAGAAGCTCTTGATCTGGGGAGCACAGGGTGGGAGTTAGTTTTACAGCATAGGAAGATGTGGATTGCTCCAGCAATCCAAGCAGTGTAATATAGTAATATATATTCATGCTTAATTATAATGCAAAAAGAAAACAAAAGAAAAAAAAAGACCAACAAAAAAAAAACAACCAACTTTTTTTAGCCTATTAACAGCTTAGATTCTCGAGTCACTGGAATGATTCATGATTCCATGTGCAGAAACTACTGCAATTACGCTTTATCTGACTTTTGCTATAGAAAGGCCATTCCAGTCAAGCACGTGGGGGAAAAAGCCCTAACAAAAGGGGAAAAACACCTCAAGAAAATCATTCTGTGCTTCTATAGGTTTTGCACTTTGAAAACAGGATAGATGGGGAAACTCAAGAAAGAGACTGTGGATTGCTGTTTATTTTATATATTTACTTTTTTTAGTCACGGGTTTGCCGATCAAACACTTTGTGACTTTTGCATAGAGGAAAGAAATACATTATCTCTCTCATCCCCACCAGAGAGCATCCAAAGGAAACCCAAGAAGGACATCAGGGCCTTCATCAGAAATCACAGGTACCTTCTGTCCTTTTAAATAACCTGGCAGATTCAAGTCCCAGGAGGCAGAAATATTATTCAGAACATAGAAATTATGAAGATTTTTTAAATAGTTTTTTTTTGTTTATTTGTTTTTTTTCTTTTTTTCCAAACCCCTTTCTGCCATGTTTGTTACAATGGGGGGATGGAAGCAATTGTATTTAAAATATAGAGAAAACAGGCATCTTGATGCCTTGTTTTGACAGGACCGGGCGTGTGGCAATACTGTCAGTGAGGGGGGTGGGGGCAGGTGTGTATAGAGAGAGCAGCTTTTATTTTCTGACATTTCATAGCACTTATATTAATAGTGAAGCTGGGTCAATAGACCCAAAATTATATTTTTGTATCTATTTTGGTGCTGCATTTACCTTGAACACAGATGGGAAGTTGGAGCAGGCTGCTTTACCCCTCTCTGCTGCCCAGCAGAGAGATGGGGGAGGCTGGCACAGCTTGGTGGGGATGGGACAGGGGGAGGGAGGTGGGAAAGGGTGAGCAAGGGGTTTCTCTTTGCCCAAGAGGTAGCACAGGTTGGCATCGGTGTTTGGGGTGGGGAGGAATGTGCCAAGCACCTCTAGGGTGTTACTTGAAGCCTGGCTTGGGGCCTGTGGGCAAGCCAAGGGCTTGGTGTCCCACTTGTCCCTCTGGGCCCCTGGGTGTGAGCTGGCTGCAGCACCCAGGGTGACTCCGTTGTGTTCGTTTGCACTTTAGGGAGAGAGGTGAAAGAGAGGACCAGGAAGAGACAATCACAGTCTGCACTGAAGCACTTGGGGTCAGGTCTGGGTCAGGCACCGAAAAGGCAGAGAGAAAAGTGGCACCCACGGGGTGCACCACTCTCCTCCCTCTCCTGCTCAGGATGGGAGCAGAGCTGGGCTGGGCTGTGGGGACAGACAGCTCCCTCCTGCAGAGGCTGGAACAGCTCCCAGCAAAGTGCCCTGAGGCACTGCCAGCTCCAGCCTGGCCCAGGCCAGCAGCACCCAAGCCTGGGATGGGAGGTTGAAGCCATGCTCAGCCATGGGTGTCCCAACCAGCACAGAAAGCAGCAGGTGAGAGGACAAGGGAGCCTGGGACCTGCACAGGGATGATGCCAGGAGGAGAAATAGCAGAGAAAACACCATGGCTTGCTGGGGCTGGGTAGAGGGACATCCATCTCCAAGGCTGCCATCCAGCACCTTTCACCAGCACTAAAAACACTTTAGTTTAAGAGGTAAAAAAAAGAAAAAAAAAAAAAAAAAAAAAAAAAAAAGGAAAGAAAGAAATGAAGGACAAAAATAGCAAGAGGAAAAGAGGGAGAAAAAAAGATTAAAACCACAGTGGTCACTATGTGGACTAGGGCAAACGTTTTGGCAAAGGCCACCCAGTTTTCTGAGTCCCTTTGTACTGCTGAGACAGGGACAGGTCACAAGATAATGGAGTGGGAGCATGAACCATCACATCAGCCCTTTCCCTCCCCTGGAGCAGCAGAAAACCTGTGGGCTGAGGGTTTCTCCTTCCCCTGGCAGACGGTGCTTTCCCAGGCAGGGAGATCTCAAGCAGAGGCGTTATTTGATGCTGGGGCAACATCCCGAGCCTTGGCTGGAGCCCAAGTCTGCTGCTGGCTCTGGGCTTTTGCTGAATTATTGAACTCTCCCTGCGTGTGCCAGGGCCGGCTGTGCCAGCTGCGGTTTGCGATTGCTTCAAACAGCGTGTCCTTGTCTGAGATGAAAGGCAAATCCAGGGAATTTCCTTCCTTCCCTGGCAGCACAGCAGAGGCTTGGCAACCCACATACCGCAGCTCCTTCCTCATGCAGGTGAACGACCTCAGATTGCTGTGATTTGGGTAAAAATGTCCTGTCTGGCTGCCTGGACCTTGCACTTTGCAGTGGGGCGATCTGGCCGTGCCTCACACCCCGTCCGTCCCCCAGGCTGCCTGGGCTGGCTCTGCAGGCCACAGCAGGGCTGCAGGGCTCCTTCCTAAAGGAGCTGCCTCTAGGTCAACAAATCCCATGGCCCATCTTCCCACCTAGCTGAGGTTTGGTCCTACACGAAACCCAAACCCCGAGGGCAGGAGCAGAGGCGAGGAGGAGGAAGACATTTCCGCCTCACTTCATTCTGCTCCAGCTGAACGTCGGAGAATCCCGTGTTCATCCTGGACCTCCTGGGTGCAGATGCAGTTGTGTCACAGCTGCTGCTTCACCACAGCTCCAGTGCCACTTCTTGGCACAGAATAAGGCTGGAGGAAGGCATGTAGGGAATAAAAATCATCAGAATTATGCTGTTTCTTGCCATACAGAAGCACTTCAGCTGCCAGTGGAGCCCATGGAAGTTTAGGGACTGAAATAAGAATCAACTCTTACCAGCCTGTCTTGGCTTCCAGTTCAGCTTTGCCAAGTTCTGGGCACATCTGATGCTCACCATAATCAGTGTTATTTTCTCTTCCTTAAGCTGCCAGTTTCCATTTGGGCCATTTTGCAGCCCCAGGGCTGCCTGCAGGGGACGGTGAGCAGCACTCACCCAACAGGAAACACAGGAATCTTGGTGAAGGTGTGACAGGCTGAGATAACCGTCCCAGGGATGTCCTGCCAGAGACTTTCACCACCTAGACACGACTTCAGACTGTCCTATGATCCCCTGGCAGGTCTGGGTAGTTTTCAAAATCAGAGATTTCCCTCCATCTGTACCAGGCTGTGTTTAGTCTCTGTATTGCAAAAGAACTCGTTTTGATAACTTATCTCATCTTTAATGTAGGCTGCTTTAATGGGGCCAGCAATTATGTTTATTAGTAAGAATGCACAGGGTTTGATATTGCAGGGTAACTTCCAGGCATATTGATGGAATTTAACTCCATAATTGTTATCTTTCCTTAAGACTGAGGCTCAGAAGCAAAATCTCTGAATAAAAACAGCTGTTGTTTGGCAGTAAAGACAGAAAATTGGGTCATAATTCACTTGGCTTCTTTGGAAAAAGAGAGCTTTATCCCAAATATTATTTCCAGATGTTGCTGGAGATGTAATGCTTTGTGAGCAGGAATTCTTTTTCCTTGCACATAAATAGAATTGTCCACAGTAAAAAACCACCAGCTATTCTGTTTTGATCAGATAGAAGCATTTCTCCCACTTTAATACTTGATCCATCTGGGATCCCAGTGCCATGGAAGTCAGAGAGGTGCTGAAGAGGGTCCAGGACAGAGCAGTGAGCACGTGGGCTGCTGCAAACTGCAGAGCTCAGCCTTGGCTTGGCCAAGCACCAGCTGCCTGGGAACACTCAGGTCGTTCCCTCCGTGGCTCTGGTGGTGCCCTAAGTCTCCTGTCCTAGAAGCCTTTGCTTGTCAGGCCTGGGAGACTTTGCTTCTAAAACCATCAAACTTTCAAAGGCTGAATAACCTCACATCTTCCAAACAGGAACTCTTTTTTTGCTTTATTTTTCTCAGACTTTTCTGGAAGATTTTCTTATTCTTCTGAAGATCTTTCATTTTGCAAAGAAAAGATAATTCAAATTACACTGTTGGCTGCCCTTTATCTTGACTGTGATTTGAAGACTTCATTTCCCAGTGCTGGTAGAAAAAAAAGGTTAGAAGCATTTACAATGTATATTTATGAAAAGTAAGGAACATATGAAAGGAGAAAAGGCTTTTTAGTGCCATATTTTTCAAAGGTTGTATACAATCATATTTTTGTACTGTACTACCATTGCTTAATAAAACATAGTTCTTTATATCCCTCTGCCAAAGACAGACAATCTTTCAACATCCTATTCCTTACTCCAAAACCTTGATACTGGCAGCAGTGGACAGCACAATGTGGACCCCAGTACCTCAAACCCCAACCCAGCTGCAGCATGCCACAGAGTTCAGCTCAGCAAAGGAATTATCTGGTCCATCCCCAGCTTGGAAACACCCACACATTCCTGTCTTCTTCTCAAAAGGAGGTGTATGGAAGGGGCATCCTGTGCTGCTCCTGCATCAACAGTTTTCCATTATTTGCATGGAGAGAGTGTACTAGTAGTTAAGTAGAAAATTGAGATACTTGATTGTTCTTCAGGGTGCTAGGATGAGCACCAAAGCAGAAGCTAATAGTCATTAATTTTAGCATCTTAAATTACTTCAGGTTCTTTAAGCCTTGCCATTCCCTTTTCTCTCTTCCTCCTTAACAATTATTTCTTAAGGGCAGTTCCATGCCTCTTGCTCAAATGAAGCTGCACGAGTCTCTCACTTCATTCGAGTCTAATTCACTTCTCTGTGTTTATCTCCCTTTTTTTTCATTCCTGTGGGGCTCAGTTCCTCAGCACTGGCAAACTTTGAAGGGTCTGGGATCAGTGTCTTGGCAAATATGGCACTAAAACCATTCCTGAGGCAGGCAGGGACAGCTCCCAGGGAAGTGCTGGAGAGGACTCCTGGGGAATGCCAAGGTGGCCATAAGAGCTTCCTTGACTGTGCTCTGTGAAAGAAAGCAGGGTCAGGGAGAGGGAATTCAGTCTGTGGCTGTTATTCCTGTAGAGCTCCCTGTTTGCCATGGATCCAGCTGTACAGCAGCTGTTTACAGG